TGTTTGACTAATATAATCTCGGGTCGAGGTGCCTGCATATTCAACTATCCTAAAGTACAAATATCTTTTAAAACCCTTCATTATATGCCTAAACGCATCCAAAAAAGGCTGGTGTTGATGGGTGATAGTGATGTGGGTCCGTATGGCATGACATTTCTGTTCATTATGACTCAAAAATTAGAAATTTCACTAGAAAAGACCGCTTTACTACGTTCGTTTCTTGTTCCTGAGTTCGTTCTGAGTCCTCGAGTGAGCCCTTTCCACCTCCGTCCCGATCTCCGGACGCGGACGTTCGAAAATGTTCAGCAGATGCTCAACCAGTTTACTTACAGAACCCACTACCGAGATATTTCGACTATTCTTTGCAATATGTCCGGAATGAGCAAAGCCAGACTGTCGATTTGGGCGTTTGGGACCTTTCCCTTCGCGAGAATTACGAGCAGATACGGAACTGTTCACACCCCTTTGTTGATTTAGCTCTCATTTGCTTCTCTGTGAGCGACCGAGAGAGCTTTGAACATGCAGAACAAAAGTGGTTGCCAGAGATTCAGCACTTTCGTCCTGGTATTCCGGTCATACTGGTCGCTTGTAAAGTGTATCTTAGGATTAATATGAACCTAGCTGAGCAAATGGAGAGAAGATGGGATCTATTGATCTCCAGAGAAGAAGGAGACACTATGGCGCAGAGGATGGGAGCGAAGATATACATCAAATGTAGCACTATGACTCGAACAAATGTCGATGAAGTCTTTCAGAAGGCTGCTTTTATCGCCAACTCATTTCCCCTGTCAAAAGTCAAATAAAGGACAATGTCGAATCCTATAGTGACTGGTACTAAACGCTTGCTTGTATAGGTCATTCGATCTCAATTACTGCATCTTCAGAATTTATTATCGTTCTGCCTGAAATCTTCTATTCGAAGGACCAGTCGCGTTAGTAGGTAAGATGTGGTACCTTGTAACCTCTACCTGGCACCTGCCACGACGAGTCAATCGCCAACGGCTAATCACTGGCACTTGACGCGGGATTATTCCAGGATAATTAGACGCAATC